ATATATTATGCATTTAATATATTATGCATAATATATTATGCAAATATATACATATTTATATGTATGTATTAAGTAACTGAAAGGTTGATTTCACTTGACAAACAAGGGAATTCAGCAAAAATTAAGTGCACATTACTGCTTTCTAGCTTTTGTGTGTCTGGTTCAGTGCTGTGTCAGGACAGAAAGCCATAAACAATCCTTGAAAACTCTTTAAAAGAAATTATTGAATGCCTAAATTAATGGTAGATGTTAAAGAAAGTCTGCCCTTAAAAAGAGCTTTTCTTACCATAGCTATTAGGTTTAAATGATTTCAGAGCTGAACTTTTGGAGTAGAACCCACAGAGAGTCAACTTCAATCAGAGTGATTTCTGAGGCTTAAAAAAAGAAGACATTCATGTCCTAGGAATACAAAATTTGAAAAAGAAACCTGTGGTGTCTGTATTGCATTATATAAACTGTAATTTGCTGGGTGATATGACAAACAGCATGAGAAGAACCTTGGCTGCCTCTCCATTATACTTTTGTAGGACAGCTAAACAGTCTGATCACCTATATGTTCTGAGTTCCAAAACCTGTTCTAATACCAAACAAAAAAAGTACAAAAACGGACATTCAGTTTTATTAAATAATTATTTATAGTGAATAGAACTTGGAGAGGATTAAACAATACACTGTTGAATACTGAATAAAGATGTTTTTTGACACATGATTTAAATTTTACTCTAGAAAAATGGTGAAAGGTTTAATGTTCAATGTGAAATGCCCAAATCATTAAGGACTGTGTAGCAGAGAATCCTTTAAAACAACTGCTGATTGGAAATATATATTCACTTTTCTTCTTAGAAATACAGAAAAATTCAAGTGATGGCAATTGTTACTTATTCAAATGTTTAGATTCTCACTCATGTGATCAACCAACACTGAATTTCTGGATGAAATTCTGGGAGGAAAACTCAGTTATAAATTCTTCCTGCACATATGTATATTTTTTGGGATCACTTCATTATAACTTTAATTTAAGAAAGGATTTTCTGTTTCTTCCCACTAAACATACATAAAATGTTATCTCTACCACGTACATACGGTATTTTAATTGCATTTATTTGTTCTCAAACCTAATTTGGTGCATGTTAAGTCTAATGGCATTGGAGCTGGGAGCTGTATCAGTGTGCACATGAGAGGATTTGACAAAATGTAGTATTATCCATAGTAAATCCAAAAGTGTTCTTTTTCCCTATGCCTTGAAAAAGGTCTAATTTATTTTAAGAATGAGTTGCCACTCAAGACATAAACATTACACCTAGTAAAGTGTATTGCAGCCTTTTTTGAGAGCGCTGTATTTCCTTTGTATAGCAAAAAAAAATGACAGGTTCAAATTACACACATCACAGAGTGGCTTTTAAGGGAAAGCAAATGTTTACTAAGTGATTAACTGACAAAGAATCATAGAGTTATCAAATTAGAAAAGACCTTAAAGACCATCCATATCTGGGACTCATTCTGAAGGACGCAAAACAGGTTTAGCTTCCCCAGTATGATGGAAGATGCTGAAATGTTTCTTATGTCTTCACTGAGAAACTTTTTATATTGAGCACAACAAAAAGAAAGGCAACACCAAAAGCACACAAATAAACAAGCTCACCAGCCTTTTCCAGTAGCTAGTCCTTTCAGAAAGAAGACCTGTTGGAGTACTTGGAAGTAGTAAAACTGGAAGCCACCACCTAACACTGCTTTGCTGGAGTTAATCTTAGTAGTTATATCTATCTCTCAAGAATTTCTTCCTCATCTGTAAAACAGTTACCTAAATCCTTTGTATGAGATCAATATAAATATTATAATAATAATAAATAATAATAATATAAATATGTGCATGAGCAACATGGCCTGCTGCAGGTTCAAGTGATGCCAGAGCTCATCTAAAGCTAGGATTGTGTCTGGGCCATGCTCTGAAGCCAGGTTTTTGTTGTTTTAGTTTTTGTGGGGGTTTTTGTTAGATTTGATTTTTTTCCTCTTGAGAAGAAGGGTACAGCATGTCAGCTGGTCAGAACAAGACTGAAGAATACATGGGTGACATCTAATCTTGGTAAAACAAATATGAGAATGCAACCCTCCCACAAGTCCTGTGAGGACTGACCCATGGTCAGGACAGACAAATGGCATTTTCCTTTGTTATCAGCTGTTTGGGGAGGAGGGGCTTTGTATCAGAAATGAAGGGCAGGATTCATTTGAGTGAAAGGCTTTACAGGGAATACCTGTCTTGTAGCTCTCATGGTAATGTGCTTCCAACAGAAAAAAAATATTGAGTGGATTCATGTTTTTTCAATTGGCTAAAATCACATGCTGGATGGGTTTCAGTAATCTAGTGTTCACAAGACAAAGGCACCTACAATTCCTTTCATTGTTGGGGCACAGAATTGCAAGGTCTTCATTTTCAAATTAAATATATATAAATGTTGCAGTCTCCTGGTCACACACAGAAATACAGAAAGCAAGACATCCTACTTGTGGGATCCTGTTACACGAAGTGGTGTTCCACTTGGATCACAACACTTTAGAATTAAAAGCTGGAAAGGAAAGAAGTGTGATTCCTGCACCTAACCAAAACACTTGTTCAACTGTGAGAATATTGTTTAAAATGAAATCCTGATTAGAAGTAACTGAAAATTTCTCACCTTTCTGAGAAAACTGTTTTGGTGGTTAACTAAACCTACTTTTATATGCAAGTTAGCAATATTTTTAATTTTGTGCAATTTTACCATCAGCATGGCTAATAATCATATGGAAGGCAAACAGTATCATAAAAAATATTACAAAAAGGTGTAGAGTGTTGTCACCTGTGTGTGAGGCTTAAATAGGATCAGCTTCTCACGTGTTTTTTTTGTGCTAGAGTGAGATGGACATCATATGGAATATTTCAAAGATCTACCCCTTCCCTATGTGATACAATGGATTAGAGTTTAAGTTGCCTGTCTGTTAACATGTGCTGCCCTTGAGGAGACGGGGAAAAAAAGGAATAGCAGCAAAGGTAGTGAGGTCTTGTAAACATGGCATGATGTGGCATCATGTTATTGTGTTGAAAATGACATTAAAGTATGTTGATGAGGAAATCATTTTGGAAAACTGAGTTCCGACATTAAATGTTTGTGTCTTGAACAAATATCTTGTCATGATGAATAATAGGGGTTTTTTTGGCAAAAAGATTGATAGGGTACATGAGTTCCTCTTTGAGCTTAGGTCAGGAGGACAACAGAACTTAATTTCTCTGTTCTCACTCCTTCTGTTGGGAAACAACAAGAATAAAAATCACAATGTTGTCATGGTGCCTCAGAAGCTGGAGACTTCCTCTGTAGTTACACATCTAAATTCCTATTTCAGTTTCAGCATCATCCTGAAGCTGACAGTGGAAACCTGATTTTAAAAAGTAAGAGTAGTAGAGACTAAATCAACTGTTATAAATTTAGTGATTATTTCTCCCCAGCCCCTTTTCCATACAGGCACTTGTCCACTCCACAAACACTCTTGTCTTCTTTCAAGAGCTTCCTAAATTGTAGAAGTCTTATATTTAAATTACCTGTCCATTGGAAAGTCCATTTCAATTGAAAGTATCTGCTGCCATTAGCAGAACAATTCCTGATGCTTTTTGTTATTTGCTGTAGGTTAGCAAATTTTTTTGTTTCTGACTTCCCTTCAGAGTCATAAAGTTCTGGAGGACTGACTATATATATATATATATATATATATATATATATATATTTATGTAACTCTTCTGCTGCAATTTTCATGTTACCCTGTGATGTACAGGGCTTGAAGGGAGGGAATATGATCATATGGAAATGGCTTTCTTATCCAAGTGGAAACAGGCTGAGTCAGCTTGCAGGAGGGGTCCATAAACATTATACACTAGAGGAACTCACAGAGCTGTACTTTAATGGCCATTAATTGCCTCTGCTGTGCATTCAGGGTCAGGATACATGGAATACATATGCTTGCATTATGAATGGAAGGAAAAATATCTTCTGAGCAAAATAAAATCTAATGTTAATTAAAATTTTCCAGGGGTTGGGATGGATAATTCTTCTTTTGTGTTCTTAAATCTCTTTTGATTTTAATTGCATGACAAAAAATTGACTGTATGTGTAATGTTAGCAAGTGTTCATATTTGATTGCAAACATCTGTGAATGCTAAGTCAAAGAATTGAATTACTTTAATTGGGGTGGGTTTGTTTTCTGTTTCTTCATGAGGTTTCTTTTTGTATACTGTTGTTGTTTTTTTCCCCAAGACAGCCACACTGGTAATAAAGCTTGTACTGTCAGTATGCTGAAGGTCATTCCTATAATCTATTCAGTAAGATCTGCTCCCCTCTAGGTGAAAAAAAAATTAACTGAGCGTACCTAAAAATGTCTAGAAAATTACACTTACTGATTTTCAGTTATGTATTTCAGATTCACATAGAATTCAATGAGTGCTCAGATCAAATATGAAAAATTGTAGCAAGTTTCCGATGTTATGCACAGGGCTTCCCTCCCTCCTCCCTTCTGTGCTGTCTTAGAGAAACAAGGAAATTCTTCTCAGATATGGCAAAGGATAAAATGAAGTGATTAACATTAAAACATCCCTAATACTCTGTGATATGTTTTAAAAATGGAAACAAAGGTAGGATACGTCTTATCTGTCTGTCGTGGCTCCCTGTGCATCTGTCTGTCTCTCTAGAGCAAGTCAATAAAAATGATTAGAGCTGGCATCTCACAATCGTACACCCTTAAAGCATGAAGCAATAATACTGTGAAGGAAATTTTTTTTTCTGACCTTTTCAAATTACATCCAACTGTCTAGGGAATTTCTCAGTGACTAGAGGTAATAAAGTTCAATCCGTTTTGCCGGTTGGCTTCAAATTTAGCTCCTCAGAAGCCCTAACTTATCTTTCCTTTTTATCTTGGCCTTGGCATCTATTCAGTACAGTAATCCATGCATCTAAATCTTTTTTTCTCTCCGCTCTCAGGTTTAGCTGGTGGATCATATTGTGAAATCTGCAGCCATGAAAGGCCCTCCATTTACTGCACCCTTCAAAACGAAATGTTAGCATGGGAGGCTAAGCTGGTATGTTGCCTTTGAGAGGCTCTTGTTGAATTTAATTAGCTTTTAGATTTCATCTCCATCTCGCATCTCAGCTTTCACCATTGTGTGTGATTTAGGCTTCACTGATTTCCATTATTTAAAACTTTTCCAACTTAGCTGTGCCACTTTAGAATACTGAGGGGAAAGTAAAGTTTAAAGTTCATTGTCTTAAATTGATTTCTATTTCGCTTTTATGATATGAGCTCAGAAACAATAGAGACACAGCCTCCCAATAAGTTAGGATTCAAGTGACAAAGGCAACCATTTCTGCACGTCTTGTTTCTCTTTGTACTCCATGAAGTAAAAGTGGAAACCAGAAAAGAACGTTTTTATCAAAATATTTCTTAAATTATTTTGAAATTTGTAAAAGCTGAAGTTTACTGCTGTCTCTTCCCTGAAATATTAACTCTGTGTTTAGATTTATATCTGATCCTCTAATGAGTGACCTGCAGAATATTCCAAATGTATACCTATCTAAAAGAAGCTGTAAAACACTTGCTTTTAATCATGCAAGTAATACATTGGAAGACATTTCTAGCTATTTTAATAGAGTTACGAGGGAAAGGAGTAGCTACAAAATGGTTTGGTAAAGATAGGAGGTTTGGGTTTTTTGGTTTTTTTTTGTGGTTTGTTTTGTTTGTTTTTGTTGGGTTTTTTTTTCTGAATTATTCTTCATTTTGATTCTGTCTTCTGAAGTGAAGGGAAACATGGTCAGATGGGTAAAGTAAAAAACTGGGAGTTTATGGATCTTGCCCCTGTATGTAAATGGACCTCTGCTAGGGCTGCAATGTTTGTCAAGTCACTCAATCACTTTGTACCATAACCCTGGCTATTATCAAAAGCTCTCAGGGAGTGCTCAGCCGAGGATGAGCACAGGATGGAATCTGACTATTTCACTGTGTTTAATTGATTCAGCTAAAATGAAATAGGGTCCTTTTTAATCAAAATATGTTGTGCTCCATTGATACTAGCCATGTTGAAAGTGGGATAATCAGTAATCTGAAGCCTGCCATGCCTGAAAGAATGGCATTCTCAACAAAATTACTGAGGATATCTTTAATTCTGAAATTAATTTAAGAAAAACAGTATCCCACATTGGCAAGGCTTCTCACATTCACAGGTATTTTTTTTAGTGTTCTTACTGTCACTTCCTGAAAAGAAATGTTGCTAAATTGAAAGATCCAGTTTTATTTTTAATCAAGCAGGCAAAAGCATTTCAAAATTCTTTCATTATTTTACTGCAAAAGATAACATACCTAAATTTGCAATATGCTAGATCTTGTCCTTATTTCAGAGATAATATGGAGGGACATATTAAAGTGTACACAAACACCCAGCTTGCTATTAAAATAAAGTTAAATAAATGTTTGTGTGGATGTGTTCATTTACTTTCTCATCTTGGAAACTCCACTGATACATATAGAGCTATTTTTTCTTAGAAACAACTGTTTTTTAGTCTAGATGAATCAGGCTTCCTCTGATACTCTAGTATTCAGATTGATCTCTAGACAAGCAACCCAAAAGGGTCCATAGTCCAAGTATCAGAGGTCTGAGAAATACCTCATGGAAATAGCAGGTTTTAGCTTTTCAAAGCAATGTCACTGTTGTTGGCTATATATACCTATCTTTTTACAGTTGATGCTTGAAAAAATATACTATAAATAGCCCACATAATATTTCAGGCAAAAATTCATAAGAATGGGATAATTTTGAATGCAAGTGGGATATTAAGGTGGTAGATATGTGAGTTTTCTTTCACGGAATGAGTTCTTATTTCCAGAATTCTTTCTAATTTGCAATTTTGAATGCTGGGCAGCAGCATTTCTACTGACAGGTTTTTCTGTCATAGTGATGTCAAACCATATTGATGGTTTTCCATTTAAAAGTATTGAAAACTAATTTCAAGGAGAAAGGTTGTGTTTTTTTTAAATATTTTATTTATTTGTTTGTTTGTTTATTTATATGAATTTCATTCAGCATAGTATATATTACATCAAAGGATCTATGCTGTGATATCTAAATGCTTACATTTCTTTTCTTGGAGTGTCAGTGTGGACAACCACTAAGCTAAATGTAGCTATGTTTTACTTTGTCAAAGTAAGGCATTGTGGGTTGCTGAAGGCCTCAACACCTCAGAACAATATTCCAGTTTTTGTTATTACTGAGGAATATCCAAATCCTCTTTGCAAACCAATCCATTCCTTAAAGTAGCTAATTAAAAAAAAATAAAAAATGAACAAACCACAAGTGTCTTTCAAATCAAACATACTATATTATGTCTTATAGTGGGAAACAACAGATATCCTTATGTTTTCCTGGTTTAATGTCTTTGTTACTTTCCTTTCTATTCTGTCTTTCCTGGTTTTCATAAATAGGGAGTACAATAATAATATACCAGGTATATGAAAAATGTGCTTCAGGTTTGTTTTTCCTCACTTAGAAAACACCGAGTTTAACAAATATTTTTGAGAAGAAAATGCTGTAGATTGAGCCAAAGTAACTCCTGTCCAGTGATGTTAAAATAGGAGATTGCATTGTGCATATCAAAGGGATTGTGTGAACGTTATTGATACACTATTGTTCAGTGTTATTTTTATTTTCATCATTAGTCTATAAAGTCTTAATAATTAGCTCTCTAATTTCCCAGAAAAAGCATGGTAATTTGTTGAACTGGTTGAAGAAAGAAAAAAAAAAAAAAGCTGACCAATCTGGCATTGTAAGCTAATAGTATAGAACAAAGCATAGTCATAATTAGTCAAGAAAAGGACTTTCCCTGTTCATTCCAGTTCATAATAAAAAGTGCCTCACCAAAGTGACTTAGAAAATAATACATTCAGACTGAGCAGAATTACCGCCTAGCAGATTCTATTTATCTGTAGCTTAAAAAGCAGCTGCGTTTTTGTAAAAAGCAATGAATGTGGCAGTCCTACTTAAAGGTAGAAGAAAAAGAACACCCCTTGTTTTGTAATAAGGGGATTTTCAATTTAAAAGAGAGAGAGAGCCTGTTGTGTGAAGTATGGTTATTACATTCACTGTATTCTATCTCACCCACCAGGAGGCTAATAACGAAGGAGTCAGTGAAGGAGACCAATGCCACGAGGGTTATCTCGCAGCCCCAGATGCTGGATAAGTTGAAGGAGGCAGAATCGCTTTTGGATGACATTCAGGAAGGCCTTGAATGATTATCTGGCGAAGAAAAGACTATTCTTTCCAAGGTAAACAGTCCATTTCATCTGTCTGCTGTTGGTGTTGGTGTAAAATATGTTTATATAAATACCACTAAAGTTCATTTTTTATCGTTTTCCAGGGTTTTTTTTCCCTAGATGCAGCAATGATCTCTTAGGAATACTTTTTGAGACAAAGGATCCACTCCACCTCCAACCACACCTAAGGAAATGCTTTGAAGGAATTGACAAGCTCACTTTTAATCACAAGAGAGAAATTACCCACATGGAGTCAGCAGAAAATGAAAAAGTAGAGCTCACGCTGCGAATAATTCCAGCAAATGCCAAGGGGCTAGTTGAGAAATGGCTTCATGAGGTGAATATCTTTAGCTCTTACTTAGGGTTTGGTCACTGTATGATCATTTTCTTTTTTAGGAGCAATGAATATTATAAGCATATACTAAACAGCTCTCTGAATATTTGTCAAAATGTTGACGGATTTCAGCCTTATTGTTGTTATTTATTGTGAGTAATTTAACATCTGCAAACACGCAGAAATTAATTCTAATAAAAAGCTCTCGAATCAGGCTGTCAGCAGAAGTCGGTCTGTGTCTGAAACCATATGTCTGAATATATGTTTGAGTCTACATGTATGTGTTTTGTGCTTTCATGGTGTAATGTCTGTAGTTCAGGAGGATAATATGTAAAAAATAATCAAAGAAATGTAAGATTTTTGAATGCTTCCCTCCACCCTGCAGAAAGTGTGTCCCATTGTGTTGGAGGGGTTTAATATCCAATCATTTTAACAAAAGGGAAGAGAAATTATGTCACTGATAACATCCTAACCTTTCCCCTTTGGGGCCTCTAATCTAAATTCATTGGTTTCAGTACGAAATTAGTTTGGTGACCTTTTTTGTTTGCTTTATATAACCTTCCTCTCCCAGTGGATAGGAATGGGACCTTCCATTCTTTTTTCTTTCTGGGCATTTTTCTTCCACGTGCTTACCTTTCTCCTGTGGCAGGATCAGCCCCAGGAATCCCACTTCCCCTGTGATCATTGTTGCAGGCACTGGTCTCATCCTCAGTGGCTTGTCCCTGGGTGCTCCCTAGGCAGGGGTAAGTGGCAGGGACTGGCACCCAGCTCCAGCAGGAGAGGGGAGGGGAGGAGGAGGGGGTTTGCTGTTTTTAAAGCCAGATGATTGGGCAGAGGCTGAGGGAGAATCCCTGGGCAGCGAGACCTGGAGCAGGTGGCAGGATAAAGGTGTTTGGCCCTATTCTGTACTGAGTTTCTACTGGCTGGGTGAGCAAAGCCAGGCTGCATAAGCCCACTTGTGAATTCCCTTTTCCCACACAATGAAGCAGCAATGTGCCAGCTTTGGATGGAGCCCCTTTAGGGAGTGACTGCATGCAGTTTACAATGATCCATCTGCATCATTATTCAGGATGAAGGGGTTCAGGATTATTCAGGGAAAGGAGAAGAGTGGGGATGATTTAGGCAAGCCCAAACACTTCCCACCCTGCTCTCTCTGTCAAGCCAGTAGATTGGTTTTGGATTAGTTTACAAAGTTGTCTTCCATTAAAATAAAATAAAAAGAGTGACATGAATAAGTGGAAGTCCTGAGGAGCTCAGGAAAAACCCAGATTCTCAAGCCTATGATATAACTTTTAGTTTTCACTTTCTTCCACAAATGAAACAGGGTTGAGGGGGGTGAGCAGCTGTGTTTATTTTAATACATCTATTTTAACCCTCTCCTAAAAACAAATGGGAAGGTTTGGGAGTGCATTAATCCGGATCTGATTAGTGTCTCTTTCTCCCTCAAAAGTGCAACCTGAGATTAATGAATATAAACTAGAGTTTCATATGCAGTCTTTAAGTCATTTGCATGTTTTATGCATGATAATTGAATTTATTTATGCACTTCCTTTCATTTAATAATTTCTCGCTCTTTTCTATGCTATCAACATTATATTATGCAAGAAGTAGGATTTGGTAGGCGAGAAAGGATAGCAGTATATAAATCAAACCCGAGTTAATTTTGAGTTCTAGTGTCAACACTAGATCAGAATTAATATTGGTCCCATGCCAGTGGGTTTACATGGCTGGGAAGATGCAAAATATTTTTGGTAAAGCATAGACTTTTAGCTTGAGACATTTCTGATGCAGCCTAGTTTGCTTGCAAGTGCACAAGCAAAATTATTTTCAAATGGCAGTTAAATTATTGTATTGACTTTTCAATGACCCTAGAGACTTGTGTTTCTACTTGGCCAATTAGTAGTAATAAGAAGATGAATAGTAATTACACTAATAAATAACTGTGTTCAGACCAGGACCTCAGTATTATAGTCTGGGTTAGAAAATAAGGCTATTTTATAATTTGTCTCATTTGGTTTTTCATCAGGAGAAATATGGACTTTGGAGCTATAGTAAATTTGTCATAGCCAAGAGGGCAAAAGTCCAAGGATGAGAGGGTCATGGAGCTCTGTGACAGTAGCTGTTTTAGTGTCATAAGCAGGGAATCTTGTCCTGTTGCTGCAATTAAGCTCAGATGTCTTAAAGATGTCTTAGTGTTGGAGGCTGATTTTTTATAAAGCATGCCAGGAAGTTACTCAGGAAAATTAGGAAAAAGATGCTGGTAGTGGTGCTTTCATAGCCTTTATCTATACCAGTTTCTTTTGTGTCTCTTGTCTTTCCTTATGTCTTGAAAGATGTATGTGGAAGTGATATTTTTCTGTGGTGTCCTGTCTTTTATCAGTGAACTAAATGGTTGTGTCATGTGACTGTTTCTTGATTCTTGTAGGTAGGAATGTGTTTAAAGGCTAAAGCTCTGTTAATTTGTGATGTAACCATTTCAGTGTCTTTCTTGTCATTGAAATGTAGTTTAAAATGTTCAGTAATGTAGCATGAAATCATTGGTTAGTTTTGGAATGGTGGTGAAATCATGTGAAGAAAATAAGTATTGCATCTGATCAAGATAAATTCACTCTAGTGTTTTATGGCTTTTTATTCCTATGTGATAGTAATAAAGTCTCATGTAGGGATGGAAGCCATGAAATACATTGTGAAAAATCATCAACTCAGATGGGGCCATCAGGATAGCATGCGGTAGTTGTAGAGTTATTGAGAATGATTGGAAGATGGTTTAGTGTGTCATCACTTTGACTACCATGTTTTTTGCATTTTGTTTTTTCATCCTTCACCCACGTAGTTTGATGGGAGGAAATCAGTTTGTAACGAGACAATCCATCTTTACATCAGTGTTCAGTATTTAAATTGTTCATGCATCTTTCATTTTCTGCCAAAGATAACACTGTATATGAAACCCTTAGCTAAGAATTTAATATAGCTAATAAACACATGCCAAAATGAATACAGAGAAATGCCAATGAATTTTTAAATGCTTGGAAGTAAGGAAGGAAACAAAGAAAGGTCTACCCTGTTAGTAACTGGTCCAGATTCTTTATTTCCATGTTTAAGAGCAAATCTGATATGTAATCCAGGGATTAAAAAATAATTCTTTTCTCTGTTTGCATGTCTTTCTGAAAGTGCTTGTTCTTTTCCTCTCTGGAACTGAGATGAAGGCTGACAGTGTGTTGGGCTCAGAAACCAACTTCTGACAAATTCCTTACAGTGCTGCTATTCCACATATTGCCTTACTGCTCCATCTCCTTTGCTTTTGTGTACCAATTTCCTTTGGGACTGTTTGAGGGAATGTTTTTTATTCTGATGCAACTATTTCCAATTTTTTCTGTTGTAATATTTCTCTGAAGCATATGTTAATAAAACATTATTGATTTCTTGGTACTTTGACTCCTTTATTATTTCTCTTAGGCATGATTTTTTTTCTCTCTGCTAAAAATACTTTATTGTAGCTAAGGTCATCTTCTGGTGAAAAGCTCCAGAAATAATTAGGCAGGATGTATATTTCCCATTTTATTATAAATTTTAATTTCTTCTTTAAATAAATCAGCACATGGAGAAATTAACCACGATTAAATCCACAGATGTTGTGTGGCAATTATTTCAGTCTTACTTGGGCTTTAAAAGGGTAGGCACAGGTTTGCTTCAATGGTGCCAAGTGAAAGAAAAGTATAAAACCTATAAAACTCATTATCTTCAGACTCCTATTAAAAGAAAAGCTATTTTCCTCCTTATGTATTAATAAAATTTTTCCAGTAGTATCCAGGGTCTACAGCCAAGACAGTAAACTGTGTTTATTTTTCAACTTTGCATTTGGCTAAGATAAAAATTGTCATCATCTTTTCAAAACCTACTTTGGTGGTAACTTTTCAGAGACCTGTATTTTACACATGGGCTTCTGTACTATTTTTCTCTATTTCTAGCAGTTTAATGATGAATTGCAATTAAACTATTCTGTTGATAAATTTAATTCATCTTTACTGCAAACTATACTTTGAAAAGTAGTCTGCAATACCACCAAAATATGCAGAGCATATTTTCTGTACTGTATTTTGTTTCCAAATTATTTCAAGAATCAAAAGTTACAGTACTCTGAAATAACACCATAGGGTGAGTTCATGCTTGGAAACTAGGCACTAGAATGGCCTAAATGTTTTCAATAACTCTCTTCATGGCATGTTTGCAGATCTAACTCCATTACTTCAGAAGCAACTCCAAGTGCCCATGGGCATTCAGCCCTGGAGTTAATGAGCAATGACCTGTCCTGGAGTGTTCACACCTTAAAGTGTTAGTGGAGAGAGGGTTACTTTGGGTTTATATTTTCTTTCTAATAGTAGTTCATCTGTAGATGTTGCAGATAGCCTTCTTTAGTCTATTATTTTCTGAAAAAAAATTTACTATTTATATCCTAATTATTTTCCTTTCCCTCTGCCTCCAGGGTAGATCTGATCTTTTCTTTCTTTTTTTTTTTTTCCTGAGCACGAAATATGCTTTCTTATAACTCCTGAAATATGGCTTCAGATATACTTCTTTGAATTATGCATTGTAAGACCTTGACAATCAGGTTTTAAATGACACCTTGCCATGATGGCAAAAAGAGTATTTTTCTTGTCAGTGTCAAATTGAGTAAAAAGTGTGTATGTTTAAAATGTAGTCAGTTGTCAGAAAAAAGCAAGGTCTTGTCACAAAGATGAAATGTTAAGGTTACCTCTTTGTTAAATATATTGTAAATGTCTATATTATGTGTGTTCTTAATAAATTAACAGCCTTAGTCAAGAGCAAGACAATGTTCTACGTATACCTTCAAAAGTCTGTCTGAGGTAGTGGACATATCAGCTCTCAGGAGAAGCAGCATCTTGGTAGTCTCAGATCCAAGCAGGATTTCCTGTCTTTCAGGAAATTTCTTTGCAAATAAAAAGAAGAAAAATTTTGCGAACACCTTGAGTATCACCTGTAAAGGGGGCAAGTCTCTGAAAGCAAGTGCAGTGTGTTTTCCATGGCCTGGATTATAAAATCAAGAGCCATGGTTTCCTGCTGGAGCTAATGCTTTAAAGCAGTCTTCAAGGGCAGCATCGTGGAGAATAAATTACAGCAATTTGATCTGGATGTAAGAAAGTCTGTTAATTGTTGGGAAGGCTGTGCCACTGAAGGGAGAAGAGAGGTTTGCAATGTCTTTACAAATATAAAATTGGAAAGGCTATTTCTGGAGGCTGGCACTTACCTATTTTCCCAGCACTATCATTGTTGTGCTGATGTCAGCATCAGTTCACTGTTCATCCACAACCCCATGGGGGGTTTTGAAAAAATCAGGTATGGCATTATGAGACAAAAGTTGGAGGAGCTATGTCATTTTGTAGAGTTAGGGGGTGGAAAGATTTATACAGAGAGCGAGAGGGAAAAATAACGTTTTCTGATCAAATTTTTCTGTTATTTGAATTCTTAGAGATAGTTTAAAAGGTGCCTTGTCAACCTACTGCTTTATTACCTTTAAATCATTGTCTCTTCTAATTTTATTAGTTTTCCTTGATTTCTTAAAAAATGTTGTACACAACTTTTTATTTTTCATTCCTCTCCCAAACATGCTTTTTAATTACAAGTTTTTTAATTAGAAGCTATCACCAGAACTTCTGGAAAACATTAGATGAGTTGGTTTCTGGTTTTCTAACCTATGGCAGTTATTGCTAAAATAAAACTAGCACTTTCTTTCCATGGAAAAAGACACCTATGAC